CTGCTTAGCTGGTACACAAAAGACTGAAAGGATATACTCCAAAAGTAATAATAGTAGTTTCTCTAGTTGGTGATAGTGTTACAAGTACTTTTCATTACTTTTTTTCTTATAATCTATATGCTAACTTTCTACAATAAATTTATCCAATTTCACTCCCTCTCCAAACTTATCTAACATTAAATTTAAAATGTGCTTTTGTTGTTGTTATTTTTAGATACAAACCCACAAGCACAGTGAGAAAAGAAGGGAAAATGGCATATAATTTTGGAAGCGGAAAAGTAAACAGATGAGTGATAACTGACTAACAGGCTCTAGAAAGCCAAACAGTGCTGGGTTAACAATCCACTCTCCTTCAACAGACTAAAAGAACGGACACTGTTTTTACTGGATACGGTAAAACAGAGAACATTTGGAATGGAGGCTCAGCCTGAACACCTGGGACGTGTGGACACTGCAAAAATAAGTTAACCGCGATTATCTGATGTGACTGATAATGCACAAAATTGGTGCTGAAAGCTATTAGATGGTGTGGGATGAATTAGCAGTAGTTACAGAGAAAACTAAAGCAAAATTTTAAAAGACCACAATGTCAGTAAATGTAAAAGGAAAGAAAGGTAACAACAGTAATATGGGACAATATATGACAATCTTCAGTTGTATATTAGTGTAAACAATGAATACGGACTTAACCAAGAAATGCAAAAGAATTACATTGGGATAATGGGGAAGGAAAACATGGGGGTGGCACTGGCTAGCATTCATCCACAGAAATAGAGAGAGGAAGCAGATACCAGAAGAAACTTGAGATAAAACTTGTGCTTCTAAGGAAGACTGGGGAAGTAGGGAGAGAGGGGGCAGAGATCCACTGTATTATTATAAGCTTTTTAGTACTATTTGACTATCTAAACCAAATGCATGTACTACAATGTTAAAATAAACATTTTATTATTTAATAAAAACGTTCAACTAATTTTTTTAAGAAAAACTCAACAAGGAACAGCATAGCATAGTGATTTAGATAACAGGCACTGGCGCCAAACTGCTGAGGTTCAAATTATAGATCCACCACCTATAAGTTACTTAATTATTCTGTGCCTCAGTTGCCTCTTCTGTAAAATATAGAGTTTTGTAAGGATTAAATAAGGTAACACATGCAAAGTCTTTACAACAGGGCCTGGCAAAAAGTCAGTTTCAAACATATTAGCTACTTATAGGCAGCACAAATATGGTTAAGAAGGTGGACTTCTGAAGGTATCCAGACAGTTGGCTAGATGTATTGTAATATCCTTCTTTATGATTCCTTCCTCCAGTAATAAGAGATGGATTCACAGGTTCCTTTCAGCTTTCCAGCCTAAATTTGGTTCCCTTTTTACTTTTTCCTTTACCATAACTCATAGTATATACCATATCATCAACTCTTATCAAAGAAGTTGCTCCTTTGTTATAGAAATACTATCGAAAACTCAGATGCCTAAAGGGAATAAGGAGGTGAGAGAAGAGGGCTAAGAACATCTTAAGGTTTTTTTCCGTTAGATCCAGACATGCATTATTTTCATATTAAATCTGTAAGAATTTTCTTCCTTTACATATACATACACAACAATATCTGTTCTCTGCCATTTTTCCTTGTCCATCTATTGTTTTCTGCTTTCTACTCAGATAAAGTTACAAGAAAACTAGAGGTGATAACATACCAAGGCACATTCAGTTTTGCTGGCATTAGAGGTAATAGAAAGTACAGGGGATAAGGGTAAACTAGAAAGTAATTTCCTACCTCAAGAGAACAATCATTCCTCAGTCTCAACTAACTGCAGCCACATAGGCCCTAAATTTAAATTCGCAACAGAAGACTAGATTTCTGTGTAAATTAAAGTTCCTAGTTTTTAAATGTTGTCAATAAATGTAATTTTCTTCTAAAACAATGTAGGTCAGTTCATCGGTTGCCATTTTGCACTCCTACTCTGGATCTCTGTGTCCTTTTATAACTTCCTAGATTTTATTTATTTATTTATTTGTGAAGAAATAATTTAAATCCCCCCTCCACCCCCTAACCTCTGGTAACCACTAGTCCATTGTCCACGTCCATGAGTCTCTGTTACAACTTCCTAGATGTTTACCTTCTCTACATGTTTATTTAACATCTATAATATGGAAGGTCTATAGTTATATATTAGGCAAAGTACTACAAAGGTTGAACTTCATTTATTTTTCTACTCACATGTTATTTAAAATTCAACACACTCTTCCTCAAAGACAATTAAAATCAATATTATTAACATCTTATTAGTTATTAATTAATTAAATTGCAAACCATGTCATTTAGTCTGAAAGAGCTACCAAGAGAACTCTTCAAATTTAATTGCCTAGGACAGGTTGAGAAAAACGTTTACAAATGCTAAGTCAGTTATGTAAATACCACATCTGGCCTCTGGGACTTTATATATGCTACTCTTTTAGCATGGAAAGACTGTCACCTCTAGGAAGCCTTCTATACTCCCTTATCATCCTGAATTTATCCCTCAGAGTTCTGCATACACTACTGAAATCATGTCTTCATTGTTTAGCTCCCTAAGCATACTACATATACCTTACGGATAAGATTTATACAGAATTTAGGACTGCATCTCCAGAAGCTAAATATGATTAAATGAGCCATATACATACATACACGTACACACACACACACACACACACACACACACACACACACACACAACCCCTCCTCTTCAGTTTATTAATATTATAGCTGTGTGGCTCTGGGAGATCCACATAATTTCTCTGAGCTTTAGTATTTTTGTCCAATAAAATGCAGATAATGCCAACTTTCCTAGGTTGTTATGGAAAGTGAATAAGGAGTTCCGGGAAGTGCTAAGCAGACAGCATATGTCATAGCTCATAAAAATACTGCCAATAAACACCTTTTAAGGAAACCAAAATTCCAACTCACAGATTTTTAAATCCTGGATAGATACGTGGGGGAAAAAAAAAAAAAGGAAATAGTTCAATAATCATACTTAATTCATAGTCTATACATCACCAAACAATTGTTTAGTTTTATGAAACAATTTCTACCAAGCTCAAGGAAAAATGAACAACCGCCATTTAAAGTCATGCTTTGTAAAACAAATTGCTCAAGAATTGCCACATGTATTTAGCATGGCAAAACAAAAACTTGTAGGTGAAAAGTTAGGAGACAAATTCTGGCTCAGTATTAGAAAAAAAAATCCAAAACTTCCAAATAACTTAGAGCTACACAACGCACAGCTTCTGTGGTAGGCAGAATAATGTCCACAAGTCCCTGACCCCCTAAAAGATGTCCAGTTCCTAATATCCAGAACTTATGAATGTTATGTTACATGGCAAGAGAGAATTAAGGCTGCTAAACAGCTGGCCTTGAGATAGGGCTAGCAGCCAGTATTATCTAGGTGGACCCAATATAATCACAATGGTTCTTACATGTGAAAGAGGGAGGGAAGCACTAGGCAACTAATACAATTTCCTTGGGATGTAGTGTCCTCTCCCTTACAGATGATGCTCAAGCACAGTTAGAAAAGTTGTTCATGGACTTCATGGGGAGATAAGTCAAATGTCATGATACATCAAATAAGGATTGCCTAAGTGAGATTCTAAAGGCAGGTGTCCTTAAACTAAGTCTAAGGAAAACCCCTGAACCTGCATGAACATTTTTGTGTGTAACCACATATGCCCTTTTCTCTGGAGAGAGGAACTAGCATTCAAATATTTTCAAAAGAATCTGTTTTACAAAAAAGGTTAAGAACACTCTTCCTAGATTATTTTCAACACTGAATGTTTACTATTCCATGATTTTCTAAGGCAGTGAGTCTAAAAGTGTAGCCTATCAAAAACCAATATAATATAAAGCATCAAAACTTATCTGAGGCTGTCTGTAAAAGGCAGATTGCTGACCACCCCAGAAAGAATCCCTGAGAGCTGTAGGAAAGTTCAATATGTAACGAACTGGGGGAAGGAGGAAAGGAAATGCTGTATACAGTTAAAGAACCATTGTTTCAAGGACTATTTTATGAAACATTAATCTGAAAAAAAAAACTGAAATAAATTGTTCCCATCATGAAGTCTCCAGAAATCTCACTGCACTCATCTTACCATGTAACTTTGTGTAACTTATTTTTTTTTCTGAGGCTCGGGTAGCCCAGAATATGTGGGCAATGTCTACTGCACCTAATTTTTTAGATGGAAATTGATTCTGTGGAGTGACAGAATGATGATTGGCAAGTAATGTGTTGCGTTAAAAAAAATGTTAATCCTACAACCTCAACCCGCTGTGTAAAGAAAAATAATGCTCCGCATACTAGATTACCTACTGTTGAATACCGAAATTTTGTTAATTGTGTCAATATCATAACTAAACGCTAATTTTCTATAATAAACTTCGTGGTATGAGTCCCCTCCTAAATTTCACTCTTTCATGTTCATGTTCTGCCGGACCTATGTCTGTGATGCTGTAGGCATTTACAATCAAGTCCTTCACTAGTCGTCGCGTCGAGCAACCCAAGTGGCCTAAAAGAAAAGATCTTCCAATAGAGACAGGCCAAGAGAATAAGAACAGCTAAGAGTGGCTCTTGAATTTCAGCAACCTTAGGAAGCTCCTGCCCGACAGAGATGCTTGACAACCCTAAAGGAATCTAAGACGTGATTGGGAAGCGGCCTGAGACGAGGGCGTTTAGGACCTATCTCCAAGCCTCCAAAAAAAATCCCCAAAATTCCAAGGCAAGGTCAAGAGAAGTCATACCACCCAGCGGGCCAGGGGCGGAGTCAAGTTATCCCAGGTCCCAAGAGGACCCTTCCCGGCATGCACTTATCAGGCGACCAAGTCAGCGGACCCCTCCTCGAGAAAAGGCCAAGGTAATCGGGAGCCCCGAGTACCTCCACACTCAAATGCAGGCCCTCAATCAAAAAGCCCCCTGACGCAGGCCCATTGCTCAGCTACACAGAGGAGCTAGTGAACCCCGGCCACTCACCCCGCAGCCGCTGCGCGCTGTGAAACCATCTCCAACTAGCTCCGCGGCCGACAGACCATCCTGCAGGCTCCTTAAGCAGGTCCAGGCCTCTCCGGCCGCCAAAGGCTAGGAGATAGCGCAGCACCCGTAGGTTACAGCCTAGCCTCCAGGAGGCCGCCATCTTCCCTGCCTTCTCACCGGCTGCCCGCAGCAAGGCCTGATCGCTCTGTCATCAGGCCCCTCCAAGCCCCGCCCCCACCCAGTTGGCCACGCCCCTAAACTCCTGCCGTGCCTTTGAGTCTTGGAGTCAAGCTCTCCTAGCTCCGCCTCCAACCCCATTGGCCCCGCCTCCGGGTCGGGCGTCTGCGCCTCTAGCTCCCGGTCAGCGAAGCCCTCTCAGACCCGCCCTTCGCCTTGTCCGCCCCTTCCCAGGGCTGCCCTCAGCACCGCCTGATTGCACAAGCGGCCTCGTTGCGTGAGCCCTGGCGCTGGACCAGGAGCAAAGCCGTGCGATTATAGAAGGCTGCGGAATCCCCCAGTCCCGGCCATGTCTGGCTGTCCAGAAGGAGACCGTTGCTCGCGGCAATGCGGTGCGCAGGTAGGGGCGGGGCTGCAGGTGTCCTTTATTCTGAGGAGGCATGGCGCTGGCGGGCGCGGCCGCGTCTTGGGGCGGCCGGAACGCCTCCCCCCACCAGACCCCCGCGCATGGCCACCTCCGCCCCGCGTGCAGACTTGAGGCCACGGTCTGTGGCGGTCTGCTGCCAGGTCTGGGCTATCCTACGGCGAGAGCTGGGCACCAAACGTTGAAAAAAGAAAAGATAACGGAGGAGAGTGTTTGTTGGCTTACGTGTGTGTCTTAAAGCAACTTATCAGGAAGACAGGCCAAACATGGAATCGTGAAGCGGTGGACTGGAACTAGAGCAGAAACTACGAGCTCTGGTGATTAATTTCTACGCCCTGGCTACGAGCCCTACGTTTAGCATGCGGTAGACACGGGAAACGTTCTCCTGGATGGAAACTGTGCCTCAGTAGCCAGCAGTTTTCCTCTGAGAAGTTTGCCTGCCTCTGTTTAGATTATGAGATGATCACAGAAACTATTCTTAAGGCAAAGTCAAAGGAAAATCCTTCCTTGGGTTGTTTACACTTTTCACTTGCTTACACACACCAACAATTTTATGGAACACCTACTTGCTCAGCGATATAGTGGTGGTTAAGGCAAATGGCCTAGGGTCAAGAGGAAAACTAGATGAATAAGCAATTTCAGTGTGAGAATCCCTGCTTAAAAGGCAAGGATAAAATTAACCCCCTTATTCCTGTCCAATACTTTTTTAGGACTGGAGATCCCAATTAAAAAGTAATAAAATGCAAGAGATATTATTGCAAAATATTTATGGGGGAGGATGAAATTTTCCCTTACCCTTCCAGGTTCTTTTTGGCTTGTCTAATAATTTAATCAACATGAGACAGGTTGAGAGAAAAATAACCAAATTTAACATAGGTACGTGTGGAAACCGCCACATGTAGGAGAATCAGAGACACCACACCCATACAGAGAGGTTCAGAGGCAGAAAGGTAAAATGAAGTAAGTACTATCTATATCCTTAGCTAAGGATGAGATAAGATGCCTTGGGGCTTCAGAGGGGAGGGAAGTAATTCAGCTAGCTCCTGAGCACCTTATGGCAGTCCTCTGGGGACCTTCCTTTCACATTCCCTAAGTCGTTACCCCAAACCTCATCATCTTAACTCATCTCCCCCAGCCTTGTCTCACGGATGACCTTGGCTCCAAAATCACAAAGAAAACATGAACTATTAGGTGTGAACTTGTCAACTTCAGATTTTTTCCCACCTACATTGTAATATAAAAGGTTAAGGACTAAGCATCTAGAATCAGACTGCCTGGGTTCAAATCTCTATCTGGGTGGTCTTGGACAAATTAATCTTAGTTTAATACAGTTATAAGGATTAAAGTCCATAGAAAGCCTTTAGAATAATGCTTGGCAAAGAGTAAGCATTCAATAAATGGTAGCTATTCTCAATATCGATTGTATTACATATTTACTTGATCTTTACCTTTCCTCTTATCTAAGGCAACTACTTCCCTGTTTTCCTAATTCCAGCTTTTTCTGTCTCCACAAATACTGACTTAAGTAGGCCTTTTCTCTCCTATATCTTTAATCTCTCCCTATTTCCTAATTTTGCCTCCTAATGTGAAAGAAAACTCTTTATTAACGAGTTTTCCCTTCTGTTTCTCTAGCCCTTCATAGCAACACTATTGAAAGAGTAATTAGAATTCTCTGCCTCTAAATTTCTTTTCTTAACCCATTTTGATCTGACATATATACCCAATCTATTGAAATGGTTGTTACTTAAAGTCATAGTTGACCTCATTTACAAATATAGTTGGCCTTGCAAAACCCAAATCCAAGGTGAACCCTTCTGTCCACCCTCCTTGTAATTGCACCGTGCAGCTGAATATTGCTAGAGAAAATTACACAATGGTGCTGACTGGCCTCACTTCATAGTCAAGATTTCAGCCTCAGATTGGCACTTAACACTGCCCAGCAACCTGCTTTGTTTCCCTGATAGTCACTGTCCCACTCCTAAAGATGACCAGTTGATTCCTTTTATTCTCTTTACAAGGCTGTCATACCCTGTTCTCACACTGACTTAGCTGATGACTTTGTTTATCCTTAAGACAGTAGGAGTCATAAGAAATGAACTTCCTCACCTTTGAACCACAAAACCTGCAGATCTGCCAAATCATGAACCCATCTCTTTTTAGAAAATGGAAGAAGCCTAATCCACATGTTCACAGGCTCTCCATCCCCTCTCACATTCTGAATTATTTCTCTCTCTCTCACTGTGAAATCAATTCCCTTTCTGGAAGGACTGGTATCATGTAATTTTCAAGCCCCTGTGTGATCTTGCCCTGACAAACTCCATCGTCTACCACTCTCAGCATTTCTTAATCACTGCTGTAGCCAACTGGTCTTTCTATTTTTTAAACTCCTCAAGCATTTTCTCATTCTAGGGCCTTCATACCTGCTGTTTCCTCTGTCTGGAGTGCTTGCCTTTCCCCAGCACAAAGCCTTGCTCATGCACACACACTCATTCATCAAACACTGTGTTTTTCACATCTGTTAGGCCTTAAATGTCACCTGCTCAGAGAGATCCTCCTTAACCACTTTAATCAAAGTTGATCTCTCCTATTTTTCTCTAAATCCCTTGTTTTATTTCCTTCCCACTTACTACAATTTATGTTTATATTCTTCTCTTTATAAAAACTACCCCCAACAGTGTAGTTCCTTTCGAGCACAGACTTTGTCTTGTTCATGGCTGAAGTCCCAGAAAGTCAATAGTAAGAACTCATATATTTACGACTCACATCCCAGTGAATGGCATCACTATCCACCTATCTACTCAGCTAACCTCAAACTTGGAAGTCCTTGAAGCCTTTCTTTTCTTCAATTTTCTTACCCTACGTTCATCCTTTCTTTTTAACTTCTAAAATATCTTTCAAATTCATCTCCACCATAACTCCTTTGCAATTTCCTTTTAAAACTCTTTCCACAGCCATCTTACTGGTCTGGTCTTTTGTTTCTTCGGTCACCACATTTCATCCTCTTCTCTCCACTGCCACTATAGAAATGTGGAGAAATCAAAAACAAGATCTGGTTATGCCCTCTTCTATTTAAAACTGCTCAGTGGTTTTCAAACACCTATAAGTCAAGTCCAGACTCCTGTGCATGGCATGAATGATCCTCTATACTCTGCCCCTCTTTCCCCTCCATCACCCAGAACCTAATTTATAACCAGTTCCAACTACTGAGAGTTTTCTCTGACTGAAATGCCCTTTCTCAACCTACCCAGCATACTCCCATCCTTCATTAAGCCATCTCAGCCATCCCCTCCTCTATGAATCTTTTCCTAACTCCTGCTCCTTCCCACTTGTAGCTTCTGCTCCTTTAATGCCCTGGACTGTCTTGTATTATTTATTGCTTTGTCGTTTTATAGCTGTTAACTTCTTTACTAGATTATGAATTCCTCAAGGATAAGGAATTTATCGTACTGGTATTCATTTCTTAAGGGCCTTCAGTGTAAGTTGCCGAATGAATAAATGAGAGGACTCTATAATAAGTACCAAAAGATACATAGAGCAAATATCATGGCACGGAGTTCGAGGAAGGGGTGATCACTTCCTGCTGTGATACTGAGAAAAGGAATTATAAATGAAGTGGGTAGGGAGCTTAGTACAAGGGCTGGCAAGCAGGAGTTCAACAGCTAGAGTTGGTATAATTGTAGATCCAGAGGAACAATAACAGTGCAAAGAAAAAAACATATTCTTGGCTGGCAAGAAAATATGTCTTAGTTACCTGTTGCTGCATAACAAGTGTTGCAAAACTTAAGCTTAAAACGCAAACATTTATTGTCTCACAGTTTCTGAAGATTAAGCATCCAGCAGAGTTTAGCTCCAGGTTCTGGCTCAGGGTCTCTCATAGGTTAGCAGTTGCTCTGACAGCTGGAGCTACACTTATCTCAAGGCTTGAGTGTGGCTGGAGTGAGCTTCCAAGCGCACTCACGTAGTTGTTGGCAGGACTCCGTTCCTTACTGATTGTTGGCCACAGGCTTCAGTTCTTCACCACATGGCTTTCTGCATAGGTTATCTAAATATCTTGAGCTGCTGACTTTCCCCAGACCAAGTGGCCCAAGAAAGGGAGAGGGTAACCAGGATGGAAGCTATAGTCCTATAGCTAACCTCAGAAGTGACATACTGTCACTTCTGCAGTTGATCATATAGCCCAACTCCCTCAAGTACAATATGAGAAAGGACTGTCTACCAGTGTGTGACTCTCAGGCGATCATTAAGAGCCATCCTGGTGGTTGACATCCACAACTAGGTTGAACAGAACTGGGAGACTTATGTGAAAAAGTGAAAATATTTGAAAAGTTAAATTAGGGCAAGAAAACAGAAAGACTTAACAGACCAAGGAGGTGGTATTTGGGCATTAGTTGATGGGAGGAATGGAATTCAGTGGTCGAAGTAATATATTATTTTAGTACTAATAGAGGGAAGGGTAGCTGGAGAAGAAGGAGAAATGGTAGGCAAGGTGACCAAATAGGAAAAGATAACCTTAATCCTCCCTCCAAATGTCAGTCTCTGAGTTTTTACTCACCTATCATAAAACAAGAAAAATAAGGACAGTGAAAAAGTGAATTTCACAAAATTAATTGCAAAGGATTAACTTTTATTCGGAGATTATCTTTCCTACTTTTTATGTTAAAAATGTCCTTTATTTTTTGAAGAAGGTGATAGTATTTGTTAGATATAATTAATGTTGTAACTTGGCAATCTTACGTCAGTTCCTAAAACTTAAAAAGAAACAAAAGTTATTGGTCTTGAAATGCAGAAGTTTGAGAATCACTTATCCAGGTTATTAATATATGGAAACTGACACCAGAAAGGGTCACTGACTTGCCTTAGAGTCTTCTGATTGCTAGTTAGTGCTTGACTAATGTGAAGAAGAGTTTTTAAGTGTGTTGAAGGGAGAAGAGAGAAATAGAGCTTTGAGTGGAGGTGAAGTTGCAAAGAAAGCCAACATGCATAGAGAGGAGAGTGAAACAGATGTGCAGAAAGAAACAAAAACCAAAGACAGATTAAATGCTGACAGTTTTGCTGTCAGCATCCAGTCCCTTCTTGAGGCCAGTGTCATGAAAAATTCCGAAAGATTGAAATGAACCAAAAATGATTACTCGGTGTCTCGGGGCTATCTTTGAACTCTCGTACAATTCCGACAGTAATGCAGATGATGATTATTCGTAAAAATGCAAGTTGTATTATAGAGATTCAATTTATTGCTGCCTGGTGGATATTGTCCAGTTTTGCATTTGTAAATCCAAGATTCCTGATTACTTATATGTGCATGTGTTTGTTTTGAATGCTCTTTGGAACCAGTTGTAACATCTTTCTGGTTCCCTCATTAATATCTTTGACACATGTTTATTTTATATTCGTATTAAAACCCAGGAAAACATCTGTCTGAACAATATATGCCTCTATTACGCCTAAATTGAAAGAAGAGTAGAGGAAGGGATTAGAGCCATGGCTGTGAGCTGGTATCTTACCTCAGCGACAGTTGAGGCTGATTTCCTTAAAAGGCTAGACTGAAAAATTGGAAAAATAAAGTACCAATTCAAAAACTTTTTAGACTTTAATGTTTTTAATATATACGAAATACTGTATACTGTTAAATGTTTCTCCCTCACTAAATTTAGAGTAGACTCTCTACTGTAAGCAACTAATTGCAATCCATCTTTAGAAATATCTTTCAAAATTCTTATTCTAATTGAAAACCAGATGTAACAATAATAGACAAGTAATGTTACTGACATTCAGGGGAAAACTAAGTACTAACTAAACCTTTCCTTCCTGTCAACTCTTGTTAAAAATATGTACTCTGATTTTTACTCTGGACAATATAAATGACTGCATTTTTACCAAATATACAGTTTCTTGAAATTGTTATTCTTTGGGTTTGAATGATCAAATGAAACTTTATTAACAACAGCTGCTTTATCATTGTTATTCCTGTAGCATGAAGTTGGCTAATTGCTATAATATCTCAGTACTGGAAAAGACAAAAGGACAAAGGGAGGCCCATAACAGACTGTTTTCAATAATGTTTGCTACATGCTGTGCAAATTGATGATTTTAAGGATTGGAAAACTGCAGGAGTCTTCTCATTAGCTGTACTTTAATATGTAATTAAAATATCATTTATATCCCTAAAAAAAAAGAAATAGCAATTTCTACAGGGTATGGATAACTTGGCTAGATTTCATAAGGACAGAAGAAAAAACCAGCAAATTTTACTATTAATTTTAATTCATGAATTTTTAACTCATTAAAATGAGAAGGAAACTGACATTGTGTCACAAATTGTGCTGGGTGCTTTATATCCATTATATCTCATTTTAATCCTTATGATTTTCTCATTTTATGGATAAGTAAACTGAAACCCAAAGTCCCACAAATAAAAAAAAGTTAACACACTCCTAAGCCTGTGTTGAATCAGAACTTTAAAAAATTTCAACATTCCCATGTTCTTAATTTTATATTTTGAAGTCTACTCCATCAAATTATCATTCATAATATTTAAATGGTTATATCAAATATTAACAGTGCATTTGGAAAAACACCATAATTTTAAAAATCTAGTTAAATAGCTGAAAATTCAGTCTCTTCAATTATAATCCCTCTTTGGATTCAAAGACATTTTTTCCCCTTTACCCAGTGCCAAGATTTATGTAAGCAAACTTCCTTGCTATACTTTTCTGCACAGTGGCTATATTATACCTGGAGGATATAGCTCCGAGGGGTCTCAAGTATATGTAGGGATTTTCTGTTAGATGGCCCATTTTGAGTGCACCTTGGTTTCATCTAGTTTCTAGTGGCTGGCATAGCTATCACAATCGAAGCTCTAGGTCACCAGAGTTTTGGAAATACCTTCGGGGAAATGATAGCTTTGGAGCTCACTTCCCTTCCAGGTGGGCTTACTCTCATTTCTTTTATGGCCCCTGCGAGACCTTACTTCCTTGACAGTTCAGCAATGTATTTGGAAATCTTTTAAAAAATAATTTATTCAGCATTTTTAGTTGTTTTCATACTGGCAAAAAAAAAAAAAGGAATTCTTTATTTTTGTTTTCATTAATTTTAACTTTAAAAAGGGGAGAGAAACATTTTTTTTAAAGAAGTAATTATTAGAAAAATAAAAATAAGGCTCTTTATTTTAACTAGTCTTATTGTGCTCATCATTTTTACAATATATACAAATACCGAATCATTATGTTGTACGCCTGAAACTAATACAGTGTTCTATGTCAATTTTACCTCAATAAAAATATATGAATAAAGCTCAATGTATATATCCCACCATATATACATATGTTTCTATACACACATAGCTTCATAGAAATAGGCCCAGGAAGTATTAGTTGTGATTGTTTCTGAGTGAGTTCTTTCTGTGTTATTTTCTTGACTTTATATTCCATGATGACTACATATTGCTTTTGTAATAAGAGAAAACAATAATCACTATGAAAAAAATACATTTTTAGAATAAAAATATTGAACCAACACACAGAATATGAACAAATAGTTATCACAGTATATCATATATATCGTGCCTTACTTGAATAAGATGTCTAGTGTAAAGAAATTTACTGGATGACAAGCCTGTTCCTTTCAGCATTAGATTCTATTTTAGGCATTTCAGTAGAGACTTCGTAATGTGTACTGGGCACTTCACCTCTTCTTTCTTGCAGCCTGTTCCATAGTGTTGGACTACATGTCCCTATACTGAATAATTCCGGGTCGCCAAATATAGTAGATCCACTTTCCAAACATTAAAAACAAAGTATGTTTTATAATAGTTTCCTCTCTCACAGTACTCTCTCCATGGCAGGTTTTCTTAAATTTCCTCCAATTGGCTTCTTAATAGAGATGTCAGCTAGAATAGTCACTTCATAAAATGATGTCTAGTTTTAAAATTATTGTCTTCTTTTTAAGGACAAGGAACATCCAAGATACCTGATCCCAGAGCTTTGCAAACAGTTTTACCATTTGGGCTGGGTCACTGGGACTGGAGGAGGAATTAGCTTGAAGTATGGGTAAGTTTCTGGCTGATTTCACTTCTGGGACTTCATCATAGAGGTAGACCTCAGAGAATCTAACATTCATTATGTCCAAAGAACAACTGATACACAGTTTTATGTGATACCGAAGGTATTTCATTTCTACTTGGAGAAATGGATATTTGCATAACTGAGTGGAACAAGCGTGCAAAAGTTGCAGATATGAGGAAATACCTAAGGATTTAAGAAACAGTTTCTAATCAGAATAATTTGATCCCCAGTCTTTGGAGTACCAAAGATAAATAACATGCTGCCAATATGTTTCTATGTCTGGAATTGTAAAAGGTCTCCTCTAGGTAGACGGAATTTCTTTCAAAAGTTCAGATACATATTTTGAAATCACTTAAATGTAAATTACTAAACATCAAAAATCCTAAAAATTATATTTTATTTAATCAAAAGAAAGGCAATATGCCTTTCTAACTCATTCTAACTCATGTGTCATTATTAAAGGACATAGCACCTATGGTCCATGTTGCTCAGAGGACAAAACAAGAGGTACTGGACTCGAAACAGAAGGAATAAATAGCAGTTAATTGTTCATTAGATTCATTCAATGTCATTCCTCCAAGAGGATGAAGAAATAAGTAATTCACTAACAATAAAAGTAGAGGTTGTGGAATCTCATCTTCTCAAGTGTTTTTCCTCTTGTAGTGAGTGTTTAAGGAATATTATCTGGAGGCTGAATGTTGCACTGAATAATTTGATTTATTTCTTTATCCTACTCACTTTCTTTAACAAAATTTGATTAGTACAATATCAATATAATATTGAGTATATATAGTAATGCCCCCAAGGAGGCTGCATTGTATAAAGGGAATAAGATGTGAAAAATAATCAGACCACTTTGAACAAAAAGGATTTCATGGCATACTGCAAGATGATGCCGTTGTAATTTCATCTGCTTTAAATTACCAAGTAACTCATGAAATATTAATTGAACTGTGGGAAATGACAGGAGGGGCCTTGGTCAGCAACTATCATAATTATGTGTATAGAGATGCACTCAGTCTGGAAAGGTCACGTTTCCATGTGGTTCATCGTACATCCATGATTGCCTCTTACCATCAACCCAGTGCTGACATGTCAACTCGGCATTTTGCAGGCTTTCATATTATTTTGCCAAAACTTTCAAGTTGACCTATTTCCAGCAAAGTCCTATGAAAATAATATTTGTTGTTGTTTTATCCATTTAGGAGTTGAGTCCCAGTGTTGGTTTCTCAGCCGTATTATTTATAAGTCATATTCTAAACATTGCCTTTAGTTAACTGCCTTTTATTTGCATATGCAAAAGTAGTTTGTATATGTACAAAATAGAGCTTCCTACCAAACTGTTAAAGTAACCATTTTTTTAAACTGGCCCTTTAAAAAAAAACAACAAAGTTAAAAAATAAAATACAGATAATAAGTAGAATGCAGATAAGGGGCCACTGCAAATCTCAAGAGAGAATATTTTTAATCATAAAGACATAAAATGCTATGTTATTTCTAAAAGAATTTTACTAATACATATATTGAAATTGTGTCTGGTCACCCTAAAACACTATCACCTTTTAAAATTATATGGCTTTTATAGCACTGTAATCAATTTACAGGCAAGTTGCATCATGTGTATGAAATGCTTTTTCCTTAGATTCTTAATGGGTGAGGAGCTCCTCCTGGAGGTCACAGTGGAAATAACCACAAATTTATGGCACTGTATTTGGAATCTTTTTAAATTTGTGCTCTACAGTGTAAAATGGGTAATTTGTAGTAAAATGTTGAATTTTTTCCTAATATTTAAATAACTTCCTAAACCCACATCAACTACTTTGTCAGCAGCATTTTTCTCATGTTATTAGTGAAAGTTTCGTCTTCTTTGTCTGATGCTTAGAGCAAATAAATTTGGACTGAAGTATAAACCCAATAGATTGTTTCCGGAATAATACTGACAATAAACTCTTTGGGATTATAAAAGTATTTACTGATTCCAAGGTTTGGCTGATACCATTCCAGCTTATGCTACTGACATGTGGTACCAAAAGATGTGTATAAAATACAACTAAAGACAAATATGAGTTAAATCAGAAGGAGAAAATGGAAGACCAAGAAAAGACCAGTTATCAAGGCAATTCTAGGATACTCAGCAGCCATTGTATTCATGTTGGGTCCCTACCATTCACATTTAGCATTTCCTGTTTTCATGAGTGTAATATTGTTATGTTAGATGCTAATCCTGTTGCATGCTATTAGAATTAAAATTAATAAACCCACATTATAGACAAGATAATTAAGGCAGAATAAGACAAATGATTTTTTTAAAGTGACTCAACAGTAAATAAAAATAGTATTATGAACTCCCAGGTTTTGTCTTCCTGCTTACCACGTAGTGAAAGAGCAGGGAGTATAGAGAAATAAATTCAAAGCTTAACACCTTGAAATTCAAAGTGATTTTTGTTTGTGGCCTACAGCACCAAGTAAATAGTTTACTTTTAGTGTTTGGCATGCTTCCCTCCTAGAATAAAAGCTCTGTCATCTTCGTATTTTTATCCAGATAGTTCCTTCATTGTAGGTGTAAATATATTTTTTTCTAAAATGCATTTATCTAATCTTTTAATTACCCAAGGTTGATCAAAGTTTAAACTAATTTCTGTTTTAGAAAGGCAATAGTAAAAACAGGTTTGGTGTACCAAATTACTTAAATGAACAGAATAAATGCCTTGGATTTTCCTACTTTGTAGATAAATTTTGTTTAGTAGCAGACTGTTTTTTACTTTATTTGAGTCTGTTCCCAGGACTGCATAAATTTCTCCTACATAAGACCTACAAGTCCATTTACCGGTGGAGGTGATTAGACTATGTACCATACATGCATGATTCTAGAGTTTCTTCCATGTTACACGAGGACAAAAGATTTGGATTCCTGGTATTTGTAAAGGGCCTTTTTTTTTAACAGTAGGATATTATTTTCTTATGCAGCAAAGCTCTAAAGCACTAGCAACTTTGTGAAAACAAATGCTTGAATGTTACTTACTGTGCTTTGAATTTCACTCCCATTATCATAAGCTTTTATTTTCTAGACCTTAATTTACCACTGGACCCTTAAGGGAACTTTTAATTTACTTTACATTTTTGTAAAGCTCTGCATTTTGACTCTACATTTGACAGCTTGATTCGATACAGGCTGTCATCCTCATTTTCACTATGAAACAGTTAATATTTATTCAGTGTCCCTGTGTCCATGCCTCAGTGACAGAAGTTGAAACATGCATGTGCTAGCATTTCCTTCGTTTGCAGGTATGTGGCAGCTCTTTGGTACCCTCTGGCAGCAAATGAAACTGATAAATGAGCCAAAGGACTTTTGTTGAAGATAAAGAGAATTTAAAGACGGTTTTGAAATTAATCAAATTTTAGAGCAGCTTGAGGCGAATGGTAGGGTATAACACAACATTCTGTATGTAGTAGAGAGATCTTCAGATTATAACCATGCCTTTTATATTTTTAACTTTTTGCAATTGTCGTAGCTTTATTACTGAATATTTTCACAAGGTAGATGTTTGTTTTTTTCAAAAAAGGAAGCACACTGTTCTACCCAAAAAGTAGCCAAGTGTTAATGCTTATTTGTAATAATACTGCAATAATTTAATAAACTGTCCAGTAGAGGTCTCTGAACTTCATGTTTTATAAGAGCATTTAAAACAGTAAAATTTAACCTGATTCCTTGTAAGACCGATGTCTCCTCTACTCCTTGCGAACGTATTTTCTCCTGATAGGATTTTAGAATAACTGTATTCCACTATACTAGGATAAACTCTGCTTATTCATGCTTAAAGATTCATGCTAAAGACTTGTGTTTGCAGATTTTATTTCTCTTAACCAGATAAAAGCCTGATTACCAATGATTTTGCCCCCATAAAAAGAAATAAAGAAATGAATATGAAAACATAGAAAATGAAAGCAATTATCAACATTTTACTCTGTCACCAGCATTATAAAGGTATTAAAGTATTAGGTAATCTTTCTATACAGCCTATATCATTAATTAAATCAAGCAGCTACTTATATGACTCGATTTATAAAGTAATCAGTAATGGTTGGACTGCAAGGATACATTTTTCTTTGTGCAAAAGCAGAACATTAGAGTTAAATAAATACCAATTTCTATATTTTGTGTTCCCAGAAACGAAATCTACATTGCTCCTTCAGGAGTGCAAAAGGAACGGATTCAGGTACGGTAAAGGGATCCTTCTTAAACCCAAATGTCTTTTCTTCTCTAATTGACTATTGTTTTATGAAATGAAATTAATTTTAAAAGAAATGTTAGTTTTGAAGGGTGGTTGTATTGTGGTGATTTAAATAACTAATCAACAGACATTAGTTGGGTAACTATTAAATTTTTTTAAAGTGGTAAGTATTCTCCATGCAACCAGTCTGTTTTGAACTCTCATTCAACCTCTAGAAGGCAAAAGTGAATAGCGCAATCTTAAGACATAATAAAAAGGAATTCTGACTTTGCAGCATTGTAACACTATCTTTTTTAGGACAGTAGGATAATCAGATTGAGGGTCTCAAATGGACCAAGCTGATTCCTTTTTAATAATAGCAAAGCTATTCCAATTTAAAGTTATAAAAGCGTATTTCGAAATTTTAGAAGATGCATTCTATATTAATAGTAGAATAACACCCCAAGTCTATTTAAAACAAACACATAATACATACCATCTATCTAAGGCATAATGCTTCGTTAATAAAATATTTGCAATAAACCTTGTAGTTTGTAGTAAACCCTGGCAAATGAAAGTTATAAGTCCAAAGTATGCATGTGTTACTAGGAAAAATCTGTGGATTTACGTAATTCCCTTAAAGTTGAATAATAATAGACCTTATTGAGATTAACATTTCTGAGTACCACTTAAGTTTCTAAGAGGATAAGAAAATTTTACTCTGTATTTTTCCTCTTATATTATGAAATGTGAAAAAAAATTGTAACACTCATCTTAGAATAATGATTTTTTTATATAGTCACTCTGAAATATAGTTGTGAAATTACAGGGCAAAGTTGAGAAACTAAATTGATGAAATGACAGCAGCATCATTACATACATATTAGATTTTCCATATCAATTTTTTCTTCAAATTCTAAAGGAAGATTTTTCAGCTCTTGAGAATATTCATATTAGTAGAAAATATTTTTTATTCTCAAAATGGCTAAAAAAATGTTGAGAGATAAACTATACTTATATCAATATTTAAAATATGGGTTGACTATATAATCATTGTGCATCTGCTATATACTACATATGTGTGTGTGTGTGTGTGTGTGTGTGTACAAATACATACAAGAAAGGGGACATTTCTAATTAATATTATATAAATCTTTTATTTTTCTTTTTCACCCTCTTAAATAGCCTGAAGACATGTTTGTTTGTGACATCAATGAACAGGACATAAGTGGACCTCCACCATATAAGAATCTGAAAAAAAGCCAGTGTACTCCTCTTTTTATGAATGCTTACACAATGAGAGGTAGGCAGAAAATGTATTTGACATAAAGACATATTTACAGAGTAGGCTCCTCTAATGGTAATTATTATCGTAGTTAACATTTCTGGGATACCTATCACATGCCAGAACTTTAAATATGTTATAACCCATTCTGTCTTTGCATCATCCCATGTGGAAGGTCCATTATTACTCCATTTTACATATGTGAGGACAGAGGCTCTGGGAAGATTTTCCTAAATTAAACAGATAGTGAGTATTGGTGCCAGAATTCCAACCTAGGTCACTGTGACTCCATTAGATTGTCAAATTGACTGACTAAATATTTTTACAATCAGATTCCCACTCTTAGGTTGGAGTTGTGCCTCTGGGAACTTATAGTAGAAGTAAATCAATTTACAAATGAAGGAGAATCATGGCCTTTTCTTCACCTCAGTGGGGGTGGTCCTTTCTTTTTGAAAAATGTGCTGTGTGATAAAAATAGGAGTCTTATTTTAATTCCCAGAAATAGTGGTAGAAAACCATCCTGGAAAGGTTGAACCTAGAGGACAATGTGAAAATAGGAAATTATAACTGAAGTGCTGGCTCAACCATAACAATACAGTCATTAGAACCATGTTTTAATGTAGCCACTGGATGAAATCAATATTGATTAAGCAATCATGCCATTACTCCTGGACATTTTCAGCCACTGCTGAAAGGAGAAAACTTCAGGAACAGGTTCTAATAGCATGAAGGATCTTTCCCAGCATGAAGCTAATAAACTTCCAATAGAAAAAATAGCCATTAGTAAATTTTATAGCATACAATTCCTTTTATGGAATTATAGCTATACCTTAAAATCCCAGCTATCCCTTATGCTACCAAGATATAACCTGTGCTATGAAGCCTAACTTGGTGATTAAGCTTAAGACTGACCTGGGTTTAAATTCAGGTTCTGCCACTATTGTCTGAGAACCATGGACAAGTTATTTAACATCTCTGAGCTTCAATTGACCATTAAATGAAAGAGATAAAATTACTTCTATGGTTAGTGTGATGGTGCAAAGAGATAACATATATAAAGGGGGTTTGCCCCATGCCTGGCACACAGGAATCCCTTAGTAAGTGGTAATATTATTATGATTATGATCTCCATTATAGCTGTACTTCAGACCATCTAAAAGATATTTCATGAGCATGTGTATTGTGAATTGTCTTGATATTAAAGTTTAATTTTTTGCTTTCTAGTTCTTTTATCAGTTTTTCTCTTTTCCTACCTCCCTCCTACCTACTACATACTTCCAACTTATTATCCTATGTTAAGAAAAACAAGTTCAAAAACCATATATCAATGTGTGTGTATGTACATGTATATATATGCATGTGTATATATACATATATATTTTTTTCTTTTTTAAGGTATAATTTAGTTTTCACTGAGCATATGACTTTTTTCTTCCTCCTCCAGGTGCAGGCTCAGTGATTCATACCCACTCTAAAGCTGCTGTCATGGCCACCCTTCTCTTTCCAGGACCGGAGTTCAAAATTACACATCAAGAGATGATAAAAGGAATAAGGAAATGTACCTCGGGAGGGTATTATAGGTATTTTTTTCTATTTTTCCTTAAATAATTAGAAAAGTATTTTTCCTTCTTTTGATAAACAGGCTACTGATTTTTTTTATGCATTTAATGAGATGTGTGGGATCTATGTTAAATCTTAACCCACTTAATATTATACTTTCAGGTCTATTCTTAGTGATACAAATCAGATGCATCTCCTCCTCCGATCCCACTTTCACCCCAGCCTTGGTAAATTATTAGCAATATGAATAATGAAATGTTTGTCAGGGCAAAATGAAAAAACCTTGGCTGAGACCTCAGTAGAGATGAAAAGATTATAACCCTATATTGAAGCACCCAGAGAGCAAGATCTCCCCACTTACCCTTTGTCTGCAGGAAGGTTCAGCCCTGACAAAGTTTTAATTCGTTTTGAGTTAATTAAGTATTTCTAGAATATTTTCATATTTATAAAATTTTTATAATTATTTCAATTAAGTAGATCTCTATATTGTTATAATTTTTCAGTACATAGACAGTATAGAACAAAGACCTAGATAAAATCAAATAAATCCACCAGCCCACAAAAATGTAGTAATTATTCATCAATCTAGAATATAGTAACGTGAAGAAACATGTTCTCAGTACTCGGGTACAAGCTAAGCATTTCATTTGAATGTATTGGCACTCTTACTTCTGAGTCTTCACCTTTTTAATTTCCTAAAGGGCCTTATTTAGAGGAAAAGGTGCCAGTTTTTCTCAAGTGTTCTTAACAGCAATATCTTATTGTTACTACATGTAACAGAAGATACATGTTTAAACTAGTGTGTCGAGATATTAATTTGATTTGATATTAGTATCTGTTGTGTGCCTAAAGCATTCCTCAGCACTGTGAAATACCTATTTACAAAAGTTAAATATTTTTATTGTGAAAGTATACATACTAGAGAAGGTCCCATATTGCCTTTTCCATATCTGGGTCTTAAAAGAAAGGCATTATGTGTGATATCAATTTCATCAGCATTTGATTGCTTTGGTGAAAAAATAAAAATAGGTCAGAAGAACATGTTGAAAGGTTAGGTAGAGGAACAGAGTACAATAGAGAGCTTTGGATTTTGTGGAAAATAAAAGACATCAATGAAAAGATGCCATTTCTTATGGATCGTAACATACATATTTGGCATATTATTTTGCATGTTTCAGAATGCGAAGAACACCAGAACACTGTCTTTTTTGAGACATCCTTTGCGATTCTATTTGAGCCTTGCTGGGAAATCAGTAATGGACTCATTATTACAGTTCAGTGGGCAGTAATATTTTATCAGAGTTTGGGGAAAAGCTTAAGAGTCTAGTTTTCAAAAGAAGGAGCGATGAAAGCTGAATGAAGTAAGAAAGGAGAGTTTTTGATATTCTCTATTCTATTTTTTTAAGTCCATCTTGGAAAAAAAAACTTGGAAATGTCTAATTCTTATCAGAGAAGGTTACGATATTTAAATATAATTATCCTCCCATTTGGAAGCAACATGCATATGGTCGAGTGAAAACACTGTTTTATGGTCAAAGGACTATCCTGTCTCTGTTTCTTACTTAGTGAGCTACCTGTAAAATAGGTGGCTTGGATTGAATTATCTTTCAGATCTTATTTTGCTGTGAAATTATTTTACCCCTGAAAATATGTCTGACTGTTCAATATATGCTAGAGGAAAATATGTTTATGGTTCTCCAGGCCAATATCAGGAAACATAGAAAGATTCCTTCCACGTTTAAGAATATTTTACTTAAATGAAATAACGAGCCACTCCATACTGTTAATGATAATGGTTGGCCAAGTTACACATGACAGCCACTAAGCCTGTACCTGCCCTAAAGTAGCAATTTTTGATAATACTTTAGCTAGAACTTTTTGGGAGTTAAGTTTAGCCACTACAGAGGGAATGAAAAAGCAGATGTTATATTACCAAGACAAGAGAAAGTCATATAAAAAGGAAAACATGTCTGAGTTTTGACTAGTTATAAATAACCTCAGGGGTAGACTTAATCTTTACCAGTATAAAGTTTTTTGCTTACATGTTACAGTAACAAAAAGGAAAACACATATTCTGATATTATCATGTATTCACGGACATAAGGTGGAAGTAAAAAAAGTTCTAATACCGCAGATAAAAAATGTTCTGAAAATATTATCATACCTTTAAGTTATCTCCACAAGTTTCTTGCTATCCCAAACCACACCTGTATTTATTAATTTACCTGTCTGAGACACTTTGGGGTCCTGTAGAGATAAAGTAAGAGGATTTTATATCATTGGAAAATTTATACTTGGTAAGTAGTTCAATTGTTAATCCTTCCTACAGTTCTGATTCTGATATTATTTCCCTCTGTTAAAAATATGATTGTCTCTGCTTCAAGGAAATACTTGTATGATCTTGATAATTTCTTTGTCATGTTTTGGTATCCTATACAAATTTCTGCCATTTATACTTAGGATTAGAATTATGCCTGCCAAATCCCTAAGATGTCTTTTGATACAGATGTTTGTGCAAGATACACAGAATAGCATGCAACATCTTGTTCATAATTTGGAGTAGCCTTCCAGATATAAAAAGAACGTTTAACTGGTTGCTTGCAAAAATTATAAATTTTTCATATGAATAATTTTATTTGTTTTAATGAGAAAAAAATGGCTTGTCTTATAGATATGATGATATGTTGGTGGTACCCATTATTGAGAATACACCTGAGGAGAAAGACCTCAAAGAACGAATGGCTCGTGCAATGAATGAGTACCCAGACTCCTGTGCAGTACTGGTTAGACGTCACGGAGTCTATGTCTGGGGAGAAACGTGGGAAAAAGCTAAAACCATGTAAGTATTAAAGAACATTTGGGACAAGTCACCACACTCTAAATGTGAAAGAGCGAAATATGTCATATGATTTTAAATGAAGTGTGAATTTTTGTGTGTTATTGGTCAAATTTATTATTATTATTTCTAGATATTTAATTTGCATTGGGTATTCAGTTTTTAAGAAACATTTATTGGATGAGTCATTATTTGGCAAGGTGTTATGCACTTTGATACAAAGAAAGAGAAGCAGATCTTGTTCTAGGAGGTTAAGGCTGGACAGGAGATTAAAGCTAACCCAAGTTATAGGATTTGCTACATTTATTTCAAAAAGTGGCACATAGTAAAAAATTTAAGTTAAATAATATATTTTAAACTCTCTTTTATATTCTGAGAAGTATTTAATATGGTTTCATGACTCAGTATGATTCCTTTTCATGTTTTAATAACATTGGAGACAAAATAAGAAAAATTTGGCCTGCAACTGAGAAAAATGTGTTAGGAACAGGGTTAACCTGGTGGAGAAGATAAATGTGGTTATTAGGGTTGGAGAATGCTGTTTCCCTAAACACCTTCAGTTCTTTTTGTTTTTTTCTTTTACAGGTGTGAGTGTTACGACTATTTGTTTGATATTGCCGTATCAATGAAGAAAGTAGGATTGGATCCCTCACAGTATCCTATTGGAGAAAATGGAATTGTATAAGCCAAAGAGAAGTTTATATACAGAGACAAAGCTTATCTTAATTATTAAATGAAACTTGACTATTTTTAACGAATTGAAAATTTTCCATGATGCCATTAATTTGTCACTAAATCCTGTAGATGATCACCCTGAATCTCTTCTGACATTGGATGATATTTGCTTGAATTCTTGTAATTTTAAATGACAATGCAGTGGAATAAAAATTTTATAATCAGTATTTTTATGTTTATTTTAAAATCCATAACAGCAAAATATTTCCCTTTAAATTAATTCCCGCCTTTTTTTATATATACACTCCCAGAGAATTCCTCTGATTCTTTAAAGTTGCCGGCAATAATAGAATTCATTGGAAAATTTCTACTTAATCATAGACTGGGCACTTTCTTGTTTTTGCCAAAATAGTGGTCCGTTCTCTATATTTTTTTGTGACTTTACAGTAGCATTACTAGTGATTTACTCCCTCCTTGAAACATTTTTCTCCAGGCCTCCATGACACCAGACTCATGTGACTTTCTACTTACCTCATCGGTCACTCTTGTGGTTCTTTTCTTGAGTATTTCTTTATCAGAGTTTTAAATGTCGCAGGGCCTCAAGGCCCTCTGCCCTAAATCATAGTCTTCATCTATACTTTTTTCCTAGGAAACCTCATGCAGTGCCATAGCTTTAAATATCTATGTGCTGATGACTCAACAGTGGTTTATCTCTAGCCCAGACCTCTCTGTATTCCAGACTTCTCTCTCCACCTCCTACTTCTCACCATTTGGATGTCTAATTGGCATCTTAAATCTACTAATGCCCAAAACAATGCTATTGAATTTTCTTCCCTATAAACCATTACCTACCCCTCATCCCCAAACATTTTCTGGATGCTTATGCCAAAATCCTTTCTGAGACAAACCTCTATCTTGTTCACTACAACCACAAAAAATGCCCGACACATCATAAGCATTCAGTAAATATCTGTTTTCTGAGTGCTTAGTGGAGGTTCTTCCACTGGAGAGAAAGAGTTTTGGTCACTTCTGCTTAACCTCATTTTGCTCATTATTAAAATGGAGGTAATGAAAGAGATAAAGTATGTGAAAGAACAAACCACAGTGCTTGTCCCATAGTAGGTTTTCAATAAATATTAATTACCCTCCTTTCTATAAATCCTACTTAATCCCCATTAAGCGTGTTTTGAAGCAGGTATTATTTTAGATAAGTTTTTTAGATGAGGAAATTGAAGCTGAGATGGGAATAATAAATATGTAAAATTTAAGAGAAAGTAAGTAAATGTCTCATCACGGCCTGTCATATACTAGGAATTCCGTCAACTATAAATTTCCTAAACACTTCCCACTTAGCAATCTTCCAGGTAATTGTCCTTCAAGTCAGTCATTCAAACTGTGTGACAGCACATCTTCGATTGTATGTTCCTTCACTGCTGGAAATGCAGAAAAGGTTTGCAAAACCCGATTTCAAGGTAGAAGTAATAGCTGGTGGAAGTCTATCTCCTGCTCAATTTTTTTCATTTTTTTAAAGAAGACTATAATCCCTACAATGTGAGGTCCAAAGGTAAATACAAATACAGCTCTAGGAGGGCTTATTCTCAGTGAACAACACATCGTGTTCAGTGCATATTTATAGAAGGGGGCAATGGGCATTCTTCACATGTCCTTGTGACTTGTTCTTTCAATTATTCCTATTTCTTTAAGGGGAAATGTTGCTTATTAATGAAGGATTAAACTGGTAAGTGAGCTAGATCAAACACTTCTAGGGCAGGACATAACATTCACTCTCAGATTGAATAAGGGATTAACATTTTAATCAAGAGTCTTGTCATTTGTTTCGCAAATGATTTTAGAGCCTTTTGGTCCCACCCAGCTCTCTTTAATGAGAGGTACCTCAAAATAATTTAGTTCCCAGAGTGTCCCAAATGACCAGAAAGGCAAAGTTATAACCTTAGAGTTTCATCTTATATTTCTATTTGCTCAAACATTTCCTTTTTGATGAAGAAAACTGCTGTGTCTCAGCAATTCTAGTCAAGGTGGTCGGATATGAGACTAGTAACACGGACAGCACTTCTCAAGAAGTAATTTGAATTCTCCCGCCACGGTGCTTTAAAACAGGACTACAAGAGAAAGAGAATTTGGTTTTCATTTCATTGATCTGTAGTCTATAACACTGAGTTATTACATCTTGGATGATAATCACTGAAATAGGTATTCTTTTGTGGTCATAAATAGTATTTATCTCTTTTTCACAGTTCTAATAGTATACTTTTATTGTTTGAAAGTATATTTTATGAAAATTAAATAAACCTGACTTAAAAAAATAGATATACTTTTCCTCCATTTAATACCTCCTTGTTGAAAATTCTACAATTTTTTCGTTATTGGACTTTTAGAAGCCAGAGAATGAGCAAGCCAATTCTTATTATTAAATGCTGTATTGATCTCCTCTATGATTGTTCTTGAAACTTTCTGATTTAGAAGTAGTTCAAGGTTATAAAGATAAAAATCAATGTATTCATGTCATTAGACTGGCACCTAGCATAGGTCAGTTGTAATTGTAGTAATTAGAGCAATCTTATTTTTTAGGAACCCATGCACTATGATAAGGACCTTTAAATGCAGTACATTATCGCCAATTATTATAATAACCCTTGAAAGTATTATTATACCCATTTTACAGATGATGAAAATGAAATTCAGAGGTTAAATGATCAAAGTGAAAATTTACCAAGATCACTCAGTAAGCCCTGTGCTCTTTTTCACATTAACTCGATTTTATCTCACCAATTTAATACTAGTTGCTCTATGAGTATAAAGAGAGTTTTCCTCTTAAAGCATCTGTGGCTCCCGAGATAAGCATTAGAAACTTAGGGCTCTAACAGAATTTTTAATATGTTCACAAAGAAGCATCTTTGACTTTACTGACTTAATATTTCCCAAAATTTCTTTGGAGACCATTTAATGATGATGCATTGAGTTTCTATTTATTATTGAACTGTGTGATTAAATTTTATCCTTTTAAATATAGAATTATGTTATTTTACTTATTTTACTAAGTTCTTTTTACTTTTTTACTTGATAGTTTTTATTGCAATAAGGGCCACATCTTTGCAAATGAAACCAAGAATTTTTTTTTTTTTTTTTTGAAATATAGTACAGCTGCACCTTAGGTTTGAAAGTTAATGAGTAAAGTGGAAATCTCCAACAGTCAAAATTACCTTAAAAAATCCTTTACATCATGAAGAAAGTACCATATTATATATGTGACTTATTACCTTAACCTAGTTTCTTTCATCCTTTTAATAGTGTTTCTGTATGGCCCTCAATCTTTTTTCCTTTCTCGAGGCTATCAATCAAGCCATCATAAACAGTTTATCTTCTACTTGAACAATGTGTTTTAAAATCACTTACAAACTTTTCCATTGGTTTCTCAAATGTTTGTTGTTGGTTTCAGGTTTAATTGCATCTATCACTTTTAATATAAGTAAGGAAAAGGGGTATTGCCCTGGTGTACAACCCCTTTAAGTTAACTTTAAATGATTCAATGCCACTGTGATTAAAACTCACTAGCTAGCTAAGATTCACTTTCCTCCTGCATGGTTAAACTTTCCAGTTAATAAATTTTCTTTCCCATACTCTAATATAAAAAGATTGTGTGTGTGTGTGTGTGTGTGTGTGTGTGTGTGTGTGTGTGTGTGTAAAATCTTATGTTCATTTAGGCTTGTATTATTTTATAAAAACTGGGTGAAAAGCAAAATATCCTGTCCCAGGGAAATAGAATATAGTAGTGTAATAAATACTTCCTTAAAGCAGGCAGCTGTGTTGGTGTCAAATGTAAGGTTGCCTAGCTGAATTAGTGATGACCATCTGTAAGTTTATCAGTTTGATGCAAATGATCTAAAAGACACCATGAAAAGGATACAACTGGCAAGAGAATGGAGTAGGGCACTGAACGTTCTGCCTAACATTGGGTGGTCTATCTTTACCTTTCAAATGATATTGCTGCAAACCTAGGATGGTAAGTGGATGTCACTAGGGGTTGAATGAATGACTCTTGGCCTCCCAGCAATATTAAAGCAGGTGGGTTCTAGGAGTAAAATAAAATGTTTGCCTCACCGCCTCCTCCTCCTCCTCAGGGGAGAATTGAGCCAGGGAAGAATGAATGTCATGTTAGCTTGTGTATTATGGATATAATTGGTCATGGTGGTTAATGGAATAGGACTGAGAAAGTCTTAAATCTCTGTTTGGGACAATTGGGAGGGGGAGTTATAAATAAACATATCAGCAACATATTACATGGCAAAGAGAGGGACTGGGAAGAATAAGATTACAAAAGAGAGAGGGAGGAAGGAGGAGAGAGAGAAGAAGAGGGGAAGGAGGGAGGAGGGAGCGAGGGAGGCAGGAAAGAAGGAAGGAAAGAAGGAAGAAAAAGGAGAGAAGGGGAGGAAGGAAGAGAGGAAGAGAAAGAAAGCTTATTGGATATCTCTTTACTGAGTATCTTTAATTTTTATGAGTCATCCCATTAGCAAACTATGACTTGCTTTATTCATTAATCGTATTTAATAATAATAACGGCATAAAATCTATGTCAATTTCTTAACAATCTTGTGATTGCAATGTTATCACTATCTACCAAACAATATAAGCTTCTGGTGAACCAAGGCCATGTCCTATCAATTTTCATAGCTCTGTGCCCACATGGAGTAGACAATCAGAAATGCTTTTTATAATTTATTTATTTATTTTAATTAGTTTAAAGTATACAGTACATTGGTTTGACATTTCAGAAATGTTTTCTGAATAAACCCCTGCATTACAAATGAAAACATAGGTTCGGAAAGATTAACTTGCCAGAGTTAACACTGAGAAGTGTTGAAGGTGGGAATTTGTCCTAAGCGCTTGTCTCTAAATTCTGTGGCTTCTGCTGATAAGCAAACATTGCTCAGCAAGTCGGATCTACACATTTGATTAGTAAAATTTTAAATTGTTCAAGATATTGTACATAGGGACATTTTCAAGTTGATTTATCTGTTTTCATTCCTTATATAAATTTTAGGTATATTCTCTCTGACATTTCACTAAAAGTAAAATATATTTAATAAAACGCATTTTAGCAATATGTATAAAGATGATTAACACTGGAATGTTAGAATATTACAATATTATCAAAGAAGCAATTATTTTCTTATCTCTTTCTACAATTCTTAAAAATGAACTTATGCAC